AAGAAGCGTACGGGCTGAGGAGGAAAAACACTCGACCGTGCTCGTCGTGTTCTTTCTTAGATTGCTCTCCAATTATTCAACGAAGCGAATACCCTTTCCAAGTGAAGTTAGATATAACCATGTAGAAATGACTTTTGTATATACACTCGTTACTAATTATTAGAGCTGAGATTTCCGGGACGATATTGGTGCTGAAATGGGAACAAAATTGGGAGAGCAAATGCCAAAACATCGCGGCACTTTCCGGGACAATGTACGCTTCTGCGAGTACGCTCAAAGTGTTTTATTAGCGTCGAAATATTTTCCTTCTTTTTTACTGTTCCAAAACGCACGTCTACTCTCGTGCGTTGAAGGAAATAATCAGGAACGTCTCGAGTGTTCATTTACTTAGGCTGTGTTTTTTCTCCGTTGAAACATTCTTAAAATCGGAGAACGATCGCTTCACTTCCACAGAGACAAGCGGCAAAAACCCGAGAGCTCGTTTGGCATCCAAGTCATAAACGTCATTTAAAGCTCTTGATGAACGTACCCACTCTATCAGGGGTTTTATCGCGCGATGCACGAAGTTTGTCTTTCGCTGTGCCGTCTAACAACGGTGCGCGAACAGGAGCGCGCGCAGAAACGGCGGCGCTTCGCCGGAAACCATCGTAGACCGCCACCAACCATTAGGAACGTGTGCGGCACTAGCGGTCGGTGGCGTTGCATATCCAGCTTTTTAAGGTCGGTTCACACAAAAAACGAAATGAAAATTGATCGATAAATGTTTGAACAAAAGTAAGTAAACAGACGCGCTAATTAATGTTACATATTTAAAAAAAAAAAAAGAAAAAACACGGAGATAACGGACGAAGGAGGAAATAAACACAAGACGCACAATTTTTACTGGTAGCTGAGACTGTTATCGAGACACTTTTCAAAAATGGGGACATATCCCGGAAATTCCAGCTCTACTCATTATTCGACACGTCAGATAATGACTTACATAAGGCATTATCCGACCTGTCGGTTCACGAGATCGTCCGTCAGAGACCGCTGCGTATAAGAACAACCGCGCATCGATTCCCAACAATGTTCCCGACGTAACTAACGCCTGACCTCGGCAGCTGGCCACTACGAAACAAACTGTCGGCGCCATGTTCCCCATTCTTTTGTTCAAATAAATAAAGAAATAGAGAGAATAATGCTCGTCTCTTTAGACCATTTAGCGCAGACAGCCACAATTTTAGTTTTCACCCCGGCGTGGCCCCGTCAGGCGGACAGTTCGGCAATCGTTATTTCTATACTTGTACATTTCGGGCGCGTCCCGTGGGAGCCTCGATTGTTCGATGACACCGAAAAATGCGGAAGGCGAGTGGCTACGCGGAGTGACGGACTGTAAACGCCGGCCCTCCGGACGGTGCGCCCTCCCGCCGGCGCATTAAATGACGCCCTCGTCCACTTGACGGGAGCTGCCTAGCGGGCTGGTGCTTAGTGTGAAACGCGCTTTTGTAACGACTCGCTCTCACTCGCACTTATGGCAGAAAACTTTCATCGTGCGTCCCTGTGTACGGTTGCACTCAATTAGAGGCTTATTAGCGGCGCATTTACCCATATATCAGCCAAATTAATGAAGCGTACACACCGTAGAATTTACGACAAAAAAAAAAAAAAACAACAAAAAAACAAGCGGGTGAAGAGTAAAAAACAAAAACAAAAAGACAAGAACCCGCAACGGGGGAATACGGTAACGGACGATTCATACGAAGGTTTCAAAGCTCGAGTTTGCTTTATTCACCGGTCTAGGGCATTTTCCCATACAAATATCTCTAGAAATTAGTTTTCTTTTTGCTCGTTAAAGGCCCGCCTATGCAGGCTATCAGGAGCATTGTCAATCATGTCCCTGTATAGATAGCATCAAAAACCGAATCAATGTGTGTTTGGCAAGACCAAGCGTATTTTGTTTCTAATGGTACTGGATCATTAAGGCCACATTCACACTGCTTCATACAAAATACGCGGTGTTCGCTGCAGATACGTGTCCGAAAATGGTCTGCGGTCATACCTAATAGTAATATTGTGGAGTGTGTATGTTTATATGCAGCTGGAAGTTAGCCTCAATGGGCGTCCGGGGCCCTAATCTACACGGCGTGAACAAGCCGGATCGAGGGACCGGAACATCACCGCCTGCTGCGATCGGTCAGCGCTGAGGAGGTGGCTAATCACAGAAGGCGACGATATCCCGGTCCTTTGGTCCCGCCTTTGGTCCCTTTGGTCCGTGGGTATTAAGGCTTATTAAGGCTGCTGCCTCAGCTGTAGATGAGTAATTTATCCAGTACAGTACAACCGATAGCCTGGGGTCTTTAACGCGCACCACGCGGTAGTGATACACGACCACACGCCGGTACGATGCTCATCCAGATCAAAACGGGCAGGGGAGGGGATTGAACCCAGGATCCCTGAATAGGTATACTAGAATAAAGAGGTGTGGGCCGTCCGGCAGCCATGAGTGTGTCGCAATTTGCAAGCACGCCGGTGAAGGCGCTGTGGGGCAGAGGCTTGGCGGTTGCAGTAGAGATGCTTTGTTTGGTGTGAAAATGGTCGCATTCTTCGTTTGTTTCATCCTGCTCGGTTGTAAGAAAGTCTGAGCTCCGTCGTACCTCAAAGTCATGTGAAAAAACGTGACTTGCGCTAGCGGCAGAAGCTTATATTGAAAGCGCAAACACCTTCTAGGCGCGGTCAATTCCTTCCATAGTCACGCTTCTTTAATTTTTGCTGTTATAGAAGAATAATTGTCAATCTTACCTCGCATACCACCACTAAGAAAGCGAAGTTTGAGTATGCTATGCGATGCTTTCCTCTCCGCTTTGAAGTCAAAGCTATTTTAATTATCTTTTTCGGCAGCTGTAAATTTTTCAGACTTTTATATACTTAGTTCCTGTGCAGGTGTTAACATATTTTTTGTGAAGCATGGATTAATGAAAGTGAGCGTTTTCTTGACTTCTGTATTATCTGCCAAAGCTTATAGACTAGAAAATGTCGGAATCGATTTTGTTTAGTAAGCAGGCACCATATAAAGACAAGCACCAAAACTGTCAAGGTGGCAACTTCAACTGCTGTTTTTATTGAAAAGCAGCCCCAGTTGGAGAAATTTGTTTTCTTTGACATGTCACAGAAGTGACACATTCATCTTAAACTTTATATTTTTCTGCAGAATTTTTTTTTATCTGGAGTCAGAGTATTTTATTTCGCGAAGAGAGGCGTCGCCCGGCGTCCGAAACGAGGAGTGTTTCTCTTTGCTTGTGTTGTAACCCACGTTGCACCCCGGCACAAAATAGCACCGCTCCGTCTTTTTCTTCGCCGTAAACTTGACGTCGTTGTGAGTCCCTTGTCGCTTTGGCACAGCTAGCAGCCGCACATTATTGTATCGCTTTAATCTTAACGCAAAACCAGAGGAAATAGTCGCCCCAACAGGCCCCATGCCAACCTTGATAAACGCTGCCTGACCGGCGTCCTGACCCTGCTCTGACTGGCAGTGTCACCCCGGGCTCCTGCGTTGGAATTGGGCCACATAACACCATAACCCTATGGAGAGACGAACGCGGTCGGCATACCTCCCAGTTCCAGTACACCCTATCCTGGGCTCTTCAGCGCGAGCTTTCGCATCACGTGTTCCGAGTTGGTGTGCGCTAGCCCACACGAAAACCGATCCCCCTTCAGTCACGCCTCATACGAGAAAACAGATTCTGTCACAACGGTTAAAAATTGCGCAATACGTGTCTGCAAACGCGCATTCAAGAGCTGTGTGACTGGTCCTTTAGGGCTATCTATATCGAGCTGTAAAGTAAGTGATCGAAGGTTTTAGGTTGAAATATGGCCGTTGACCGACAGGTCGCAGTATCGTAAATAGTAAAAAAACAATTGGCTGAATATCTTATACTAAATACGCTTTATGTTAAATTTCATTACCTGTAACTCTAACTTCTACGTTTTAGTAACATCTAAATCAGATCGATTAAAATTTTCAAAATTATGCCAACGTAAGAACAGATTCGTACCGCTTTCACCTGAACATCGGCGCGCCGCGTTATCACCGCTTTAAACTCTGCCACTAGCGGAGTGCTGTCAGTGTTGCCGCACTATTGTTCCTCTCACCGCCACGCGAGAACTTTGCCGCGAACGTATATTGCAGGCGAAGCGGGAACCCATTGGCTGTCATTAGGCAGTCTGAGTAGACGCTTCCAATAACTCCGATAACGATACCCGGTACTCCGCCGACGCCTTTGCTCGTGCATCGTATCGCTGTCGGGTGCAGCTATTGGAGTCTTCCAAACGATCCACTAGATTACGCTAAATTAAATTGTCATAATGCTATTACGCCCCCGAAAAGAGGGAAAGGAATACAGGAACACGAAAAGGACAAAGGACATTGGCTGGGATCATGCGCAGACAGTCTATTTCCTGCGCAGAGCAGTGCCCACACCTCGTGGGAAAGCTGCGCGTTTGCCCACATTTCGTGAGGGCTTGTTCGACGACAGCGCGGTTGCGCATGAACATGTACAGTGATACATTCAGTCTTAAGTTTACGTATGCACTTACAAGACTGTCACTGTATGTGTAACTTAACTAAATTTGAGGCCGAATAACTTTCAGGGTTCACTCGTGCTTCAGCGGTCTCGTGCTTTAGCCGCCAGAAGGCTGCAAAACTTCATCGCGGCTACGAAACTCAAGTACGCGACGCTATACTCTGTTTCACCTTATCACGTACCTCACGAAAAGGCTACAAGCGCGAGCTCCTTGCACTAGGGCACATCTAGGCGGCACAAGCTTTCGTGAATTAAGAGCAGCTGCCAACGCTATGAGCTCGCGCTTCTAACCTTCGCTGCGGTACAACATAAGGTGAAACGGAGTACAGGTCATATCACGACTCTGTAATGGCGCCGAAAGGTTTTCTTAAGTCGCCAATACTATTTGCTGAAGGTGCGAAGACGCGTAACAAAAAGGAATTGAGACTTCGCATTATGTAATAAAATAATAGCGACACACCGATATATGTATATAAAAAAATATCGATGTATCTATTTTTATTGTCAACGTAGGAAAATTGTATAAGGCACGTCATACGTACTGTAGAAACTCGTATATGTACAAATGCCAACATGGGAAAACTCTGTAGACCGTTATATTAGGCGCCAGTACAGGGCGGGCACCGAGGTGCGAACTTTGCTGAGGCGTACCAAGAATAACGAGGCTTTTGGCACGATGAGGCTTGGAATACTATCACTTGAGCAAAGTCCCGACGGACAGTGGACGTGCGACCAAGCGCGACATCACTTTGACACTTCACTGAGCACTGAGAGCGCCATTGAATTGGCGCCCGATAACCACAAGACTAGCGCGACACGTTATGGAGTTTCCTTTTTTTTTTTCAGAATATCTCCATAGTGCCGCAAAACATTGTGACGCAAACAACAGGGGCCAAACACAGTTTCTCGGAATGAAACACCGCAGTATTCGCAATATCAAACGAGACGATTTCACTTGTAGTCGATCGTAAAAGCGACAAAACAAATTCGCGAGTAGGGCAGAAAAATGGCTGTCTCTGATTTCTTCCCTGACCAGTGCAACGAAAAACAAAAAACAAAAAAAAAATAGTGGAATTATCGGAACTATGAGGAGAAAAAAATATAGACAATGGAATGAATTGGAGGTATATTTTTTGGTGGTTTGAGGTAGGCTGGTAGCACTCGGGGTATCGTCCGCACAACAACGATAAGAAAATAAAACACAAATACAAATCTCACAGACAAGTCGAAGATACTTGTTGGCAGACCTAAGAGTCATCAACGTGCAAGGTTCTGTGGACACTTGCGAGGTTCTGTGGACACTGCTCGAGACCGGTACGTTCCTCTAAATGTTAAAGTCGCTTTGTCTCGACGGACACAATTTAGCGCTTGTAGCTCTGCAGTGGGACGAGCCCTTGGGAACGATTTCTCGCGAAAATGTAATGAAATAGAGCGCATGAGTATTCTTAGATCAGGCACTGGTCTAGGCAGTTTCTTGCGTGACGCAGATACCCCACGGGCACGAGTATGAGACTTGTGCTAACTGGCGAAAGTCAAATATGATGACTTTAACCTGGAGACGGGTTCCAAAAGGGGAGTAATTTGGAAAGAGGTTTTCTCGAGATCGTTTTCGATCAAGGCGGAAGCTAGTACCCGCGAAATCGCCACGCACTTACTTTCAGAACAACGGAGCGTGCAAGCGCGGTTTCTGGAAGACCTTTTCGTTCCGTGTCGGAGTTCTTATAACTTGGGCGCAAGGTCCAGCGGCGCCACACCGCGTCCACTCGTCATCTCTAAGTTTCTTTGGAGTGAGGTCGGCTCCTCACGGCGAGTCACTCTCTGCACAGGAGTTCACTGAGCGCCGAGATGTAGCTCTGCGCCATCTGGAGCGTCTCGAACTTGGACAGTTTGCGGTCGTTGCCGAGCGAAGGCACCACGTCGCGCAGCTTGTCGAAGGCCACGTTCAGCGAACTCATCCGTCGGCGCTCGCGGGCGTTGGCGGCCAGCCTCCGCTTCCTGATGACGACCTTGGTCGGCGGGGTCCTGGAAGACGTCGTCCTCCGCTTGCCACACCGCTTGCCGCCGTGCGCGAACCCGCCGCTCTCGGTGGAAGAGCCGACGGAGAAGACGCTGCCGTTCTCGGCATCCGAGTCAAACTCGGTGTCCTGCTGGGGGTCGCAGTCGTCGTACGAGAGGTCGCGCATGCACTGCGTCGCGTCGCGCGGCATGGGACACAGCTCGGTGAGGTTCGCGGGGCTGTCGGCCGCGGGCGAGCAGGGCGGCAGGGTGCCCCCGGGACTGGACGCGGGCGTCGGGCAGCCGTCGGACACCGAGAGGCCGTACGCGGGCATCCGCAGCGGCGAGAAGGACGCCGAGTAGAGGTCGTGCTGGGCTGCCAGGCAGTTGACGGCCATCGCCAAGGCGCCGTCCATAGTGACAACGGTTTCAGGAGCGCGACGTCGACCGCATCAACTCGCGGTTGCAGACGCTGAAGAAGGGTCGAGGCCACGGGGGCAAAAGGAGGGCCTCCCCGCAGAACGCGCCTCGGGGATCTTGGAGTCTCTGGAGCAGGGCAGATGAACGTCTCCCGCGCTAGCTTCTCGATTGCCCTTTTTTCTCCGCGAGCAGTTGGCGTGGCGATGCGGGTCGCTTTGCGGAGCCGACTTGTGGCAAGACCGGGAGCTGCGCGGCTGGTCGGGGGGGCTTCCCGTGGGGCTTCTGGGGCTGCCGGTGGCGGTGCCCACGGTTGTCTTTGCCTCCAGGAGGGGGTGTGCGGGGGGTGCCCCCTCGGGGGCGAGGGGAAGCGTCTTGCCCCTGGAACGACCAATGGGCGAGGTCGACAACGGGAGAGGCGCGTTCTCCTCCTCGGAAACGGTTTTCTCTCAGACTTGGCAACGGAGGCTACCTGAACGGATGCCCCGCACCTCCTTGCCGCTTTCGGCATTTACTTGCGCCGGTCTCCGTCTGGCGGTGGAGAGGGCTTTCCCCTTGGCTACCGTTGAGATCTCCGTTCGGGCAGCGTTCGGGCCGCTGTTTTCTTGAACTGGGGAACCGTTAGTGAGAGAAGGACCACGTGCGCGAGGAAGGGGGAAGCTCTGGGTGCCCCGTCGGGCGGGCTTCGGCGTGGGCTGGGGGGGGGGGGGGGGGGGCACGAGGGTGTGCGGGGGCTGCGCGTGCGGGACCGTGGCTCGCCTGTCGCCGTGTGGGACCTTCTGGTCGGGGTCTGGTGGACGGCGTTCTGCTGCCGGGCTTCGGCGCACCGGAAGCGAGCTGCTCTTCTCAGTTGGACGAAACAGGACGACTCTGTACTTCGTCTCTTGAACCGGGCGGTCTGCTTGCGCTGTCGCAGTCGACTCCAGGACTGCGAGGGAAATTCGTGGACCACAGGGTCCTGCTAACTGTTCCTGCCGACGCCAGATGAGACGAGGCGATAAGAACAGGAAAGCGTGAACCCGTCTCTTTTTGCTGTTATTCTTTGTGGTGGTTTCTACACATGCAAGCAATGCACAAAGGACGTGGCGTGTTAGGTAATGGGTTGGGGGAGACGCTGCTGAACCTTCAGCTTTCTTTCACAGCGAAGGTGCGCTAAAAATGTTGGACATAGGGGAAATTACGTTTTCCTTCGGAACAGTTCAAATATATACAGAGACAAGAAAGTTCATGCGTATACAAGGTACGTCAACGTTTTTGCCAGCGATCATGTGGGCTCCGTATTGCACTGGGTGGAGTGATGTCACTGATTACGCTATAAGGGAGAGAACATGTAGGAATATATATCATATCGACCATTTTTCTTTTTCGTGGATGGGGTTTGGGTGCACCATTTGCATAATTTGGTAAGCTATAAAAAGGAGAAATAAAAGTTGGAGCATATTCGACAAGTAAGTTAGTTACCGAAGTGGAGTATATTCAGGCAGGTAAAACGACTTGAAAGCGGTTGCAGGCGCACGTTTATATTTGGAAGCCTAAAAATACTTCAGGGAATGAGTCTAATAATCGGAAGTTTAGATGGAAAACAAATATAGTCTAGAAGAGTTTTGCAGCCTTAAATCGGTTTGTGTTAATTCCGGACTTGAACGGGATAAGAAAGGAGCCTTATGAAGATGCAAACAGGCCCGATAAATGAAGAGACGTGACGCGAAAAAAGGGAGCGAACTTGCAGATGTAAATGATTCGCAGCTGCACGGAAAAATAAATATGGCGCCATCTTCAGTAAGTAGCTCAGCGCAAACCTAGAAGATGTGTGAAAGTTTGCGTTTCAGTAGAGCCTTGCTAATAATAAAGAAAACTTTCAAACAAATATCGGTGAATTTTTTCTGAAAAGGAAACCTGCTCTGCCTAACGAGCCTCCTCCGGAATAACTCGCAATGTTTCGCTGATTCCCGCGCACACAGAAACCTTCTAACGAGTGTCGTTCCGGCCTCGCCAAGAATAAATTACGTACCTCATTCGACCTTCCAAGCTAATTGTCTCGAGAATTTGTCTAAAAAAATAAAGTAAATAGAAGAACAGAATACGGCGTAAAAATATATATATTTTCACACACAGTCTACTTTCCTCCCGTTCAGTATGGATCTTGTTTTTTTTCCCGTCTGACAACGAATTACTCTGACAAACCATCGAAAATGTAAGGGCTGTTTCTTTCAGAAACGGTAGATGTATCGTGTCGACCGAAGATAGGTGTCCGAAGCAATGTATCAAAGCTGTACGCAGCACGACTAGTAAAGGCCCGTTCACACTCTTGCGACCGAGTTAGACCGAGAGAGACCAGACCGGTTTTTAAGCCTCTTGCGACTTCTTAGGACCAGCTCCGCTGCATCGCATCCGGTCCTAAGAAGTCGCAAAAGGCTTAAAAAACGGTCTGGTCTCTCTCGGTCGAAGTCGGTTGCAAGAGTGTGAACGGGCCTTAACGCGTTGTCTGCGACGCGTTCGAGATAATCCCTTACAGCTAAACCAACCTTGACCTCGCTCCAATTCACAAACTCTGAAATGGCACACGACGACGGGCATCATCCACAACGTTAATCAATATATGGCCGAGCATACTGCGTTGCACGTGAAGTCAAACAGATTATTCCTAGTAATAGACGCTCACGAGAATGAAGATAAGCAAAAGCTTATCTTCATTCTCGACGCATTATGCCTGAGACTGTGGCGAGAAAAGGAAAAAAAACACCAAGCAGCTGACGAGAAAGAAAAATAGATCAAGGTCATTCTGTCTCTTGAGTTGTTTGATGCGTCCCTTTTTCTAACACAGTTTCAGGTATAATGCATCATGGTTAACGTTCACCAGCTCACCTGAACGCTATTTTTTTCGCAAAAGCAACTTTAATTTTTTGGTGACCTTTTCGAAATTTTTTTTTCTGCACAACGCATGTGTACTTTTTTTGCTTCAAGTCGTCCTTCTGTAATTTTGCTTAAAAAAAAAAAAATAACGAAAAAAGTAACACCGTGCATATAAAATAACGTAACGCGTTTTTTCTTTTTTTTTTCTTTTTTTTGCGGCTCGGTGTTTTGTTGCACACTCGGTCACTCTTTGAGTGAGGAACGTGTAAGGGGGTGTCCAAACAGGACACTACAAAAGGCACGACTCCGACAAATCGTGAAAATGGAAGCGGACGGGCCCGCTTCGCGCCCGCTTCAATTTTCACGATTTGTCGGAGTCGTGCGTTTTATAGTGTCCTGTTTGGACACCCCTTAACGAAATCGTGCGCATGTCTGAGTGTCGTCACGTGATGCGACTGAACTATCGCGTTATGAGAGCGCCTGGGCACGGTCCGCCTGCGACGGCACTTTTTCGTGCACACGGCGGCTTTCCGAGGCAGTTGGGCATCGCGAGGAAACGAGTTCTGGGAAAAAAGCGCCAGCGCCCCGCCATTAGGCCGAGTTAACGGTCCTCGTTAATTCTAGACGGGCCCATTGTCCGGGAGCTGGCGCTTCTCTCGACGATATCGTCGACGTTGTACGGCCTCGGTTTGTTTTAGCGCCCCTAATTGCACGCGAAAAGAGGCATCGTCATTTACATTTTTGCCTCGCGGAAAATCGTACGCCCTCGGCGGAGATGTTCTAAAGACCATCTAATCTAAACAACACGCTTAGGTGGCATTTGTGGGATCCGGGAATACGACTCCTAAAAGCGCATCTGTCTTCGTCTTATCTTATGCTTGGCCTCATTATCCATAGGCCGTGGGTAGCCCTAGCCACACGTATATTTCGTCTTTTCAAATGCGCCAGCGTATTATCTGGGTGGAGGATAGTTCGCGAGGTACGCGATTTAATATTAATAATTGGGACGTCTGTATGTTTACACAGCCTAGAACTTCTACCCCATTCACACGGTAATAAAGCTCCCTTTAGGTAAGGGACCTTCATAGTCGGTGGCGAATCAGTTTGCAATCCTTCGCGCCTGGTATGTGCTCGCTCTGGCTTATTCGCCGATTGTAGAAGACCTATTTTAAATATACTTTTATGCCTGTCGTGCAAATGGTTTATTAGCCTGCCTCAACAGGTGACGTTTCTCCCAGCTGTACATGAGTCATATCGCCAGCGCAGTACAACCGCTAACCTGGGGTCTTGAAGTCCGCTCCTCGCGCAAAGTGCTCGAGGAGTGGACAAACTTGCGCGCCGTATACGTTTGGTTCGCGTTCGTGCGTAGTCGATACCGATGCGCGCCGATTTCATCCGGAGGAAATAAACGCCCATATATTATGCGGGTACTCCGCAGTCAGACGGGCACGTTAAAGGCCTACGGAACCAACTCCTTTAAAGAGTCACGGATCAGCGCACTCCGATAAGCGCAAGATCGCGAGCTGCTTCACCGCTTCTTTAAAGATGTTAATTCCGAAGGCCTGTAAGTCTGACAGGGAACGCCGAAAATTAGGATTGAAAATTTGGTCAATCAGAGCTGAAGAAAGGCGTTGGTCGCGACTCGCTTCACGAGTCTTGGCTGCGCTGTTCTTATCGGCTAACGCCGCAACGGCATTGGCTGCGCAACGAGAAGATGCTCGCCCCTCTCCGCCACGCTATCAAGCTCAACAATGGCCGGAAGGCCGCGTTCCCACTCGCGAATAAACTCTCTCGTCGCCGACCGAAAACGCCGGGCGGAAAACGACGGCGCCGATCCCATTTGATGCCACCCGTCACGTTCGAGCGGCTCCGGTCTCCCGCGGATATCAGAGGAGACAGCCTCTGGCTCGAGTGGTGTTCCAAAATATGCTCTCGCAGACCTCCTCTGCTAGTTAACGCTAACCCACAGTGCCGAGCAAATGCCCAACATTCTCTCGGCAATACAAAAAGGCAATAATAAAGTAACGAGCAAACGGAGACAGTGTGCGTACGTTCCACTCGAGGACGTGACGCCGCAAGCACCATTTCCTCCGTGCGTTCCGACTGGCAGCGACGTCGTGAAAACGTTTTCCGCGCGGCAAAAATC